GGTCCAGGTTGGATATTAGGAAACACTATGTCACTAGGAGGGTGGTGAAACACTGGAATGAGTTATCTAGGGAAGTGGTGGAGTCTCCTTCCTTGGAGGTTTTTAACAAAGCCCTGGCTGGGATTATTTAGTTGGGAATTGGTCCTGCTTTGAGCAGGGGGTTGGACTAGATACCTCCTGAGGTCCCTTCCAACCCTGATATTCTATGATTCTAAGGTTGCAATGAGGGGTGCTGTGAACCTTTACCCTGCATTTCCCCCTTCCAAGAACCGAGGGGACAGGAATCCTTACCCAGCGAGGTCACATGCTCATCATTCTCCTGCATGATGTCTCTGTAGAGGGCTTTCTGAGCGGGGTCCAGCAGAGCCCACTCTGACTCGGTGAAATACACAGCCACCGAAGGTCACTGGCTCCTGAAAGACAAGAGCCCCCCACTCAGTACCTGCTGCCCCACTATTCATGGGGGAGAGGAGCCAATCACATGGGGAATTATAAACCACTCAGCTACTGTCTCCTTTCCCCTGGTCTCTGTCCCTCCCCTTCTGGCTGGGACAGCCCCATTCCTGGATCATTCGCTCGCCCATGGCTGGATCGGCTCCTGGGAGACGCGAGGGATGAGGAGGGGCTGTCTGTGCAGAGTGACTTTCATGCCTGTCTGCAACACCGTCCCTGAGGTCTGTCTCAATTGCCTGGAGTGTCTGGCTCAGGAGCTGGCATCCGCTGAACCAAGGGCGGCTTTGCAGAGCTAGTTCCAGCTGGAGAAATTCCCCACCTCAGCTGGGCTCAGAGGACGCTTTAATTAAGGTCAAAGTTAGGGGAGCAGGAGCTGCTCAACCCAGGCTCCCAGATCACAATGGAGGCAGCAGCTTCTGACCCAGGAAGCTCAACCCCAATATCCTGGTGACAGCAGCTAATGAACCCACTTCCCCACAGGGACAGCTGCTGATCTCATTTGCCCCCATGTTAATCTGGAGTCACTCCTTGTTCCTCCTTTCAGTGACCCTGAATTAACCCGTCTTTCAGTGAGACCAGAAACACGGCTCAGGAGGGATGAGGTCAGAGTCCTTTTAAACGGATCACATGGGGGGTGACCCCCTTCCCGCCTCCCTCACTCCCCACATCCACAAGAAGGACTCTGGGGAACACTTTTCCATCCACACCCGCAAGTTGCTGCAGTTTGGAAGGGGGGTGAGAAGCACCATCTGGGGGAGGGAGCACAGAGCAGTATTTGATTAAAGGATAAAACTTTCCCACCACCCCCTGTCGGCCGTTGACACAGGCCGGGGGAGAACCTGGGTGATGTTTCTTTAACAGGACTTGAAGGAGCCCAAATTTTAAGGAATTATTAGCTTTGTCATGGGCTAATAATGACCATCAAGGACCAGCCCAGAAGTGGCTGCATCTCAGTGCTGGGGAAAGCCACCTCTCCTGGAGCCCATTCGCCACGGGGGTTGGGATACTTCTGTTCACAGTCACAAAGTCACAGAGTTAAAGGCCAGAAGGCACCACCAGCACAAAAAAAAAATCCAGAATATATTGGGGAGGGAGGAAAATCCTTTCTTGACCCTTCACATGCCCGGCTGAGACCCTCAAGCATGAGCTCTCTGGGACATGAAACATCAATGGGAAGGAAGCCCCAGGACTGTCCCCGGCCATCACAATCCACCCGGTCATACAAGACAACTCATCATTTCTCCAAACTCTCCAACTAACTGAGTTGTTTGCCCCAAGGAGAGCGAACGCCTCATCTTGTGCCACCCGGGGAAAAGAAAAGGGTCCAGCCGACTGTCCCCAGTTAGCAGCGGGGAGATCCTGTTCTCTCAAACGAGGCCTCTGGCTCTGCCTTGTTTTAAATATGGGGTAAGTCACTTTCACATGCAAAAAATTTAATGGCTATAAAGGATGAGACAAATGATTCTCAACTCAGAGGGGAAAGTTGATCACTGGGGAAACCCTGCAACTTCCAATCTGGAGAATGATTTGGGGAAACAGGTTCCCTCCAAACGGAATTGCAACACGTGGAGGACACCTCCGTGGAGAGGATTTTCACTCGATATTTGGTAACTATAGAAAATGGCAAAATCGGAGCTTTGAGACCAGTGTTCACTAATTAAAGAGAGAAGGGGGAAATGTTAGGATTTTCCCATCCATTTTCACAAGTGAGAGAGGAAAGTGGGACAGCGTGAGGGATTTTATATCAACCATTGATACTAGGCAGAGGTAAAATTTGAGTGAAATCCTTATGAATATTTTATATTTAGAAAAAAGGGGCAGCACATGGAAGGGTTTTAGATCAATAGTCAAGAAACCGGGACAAACAAAATCTGAGGCTATTTGATGTTAACATTTTATAATTAGAGAGAAAGGGAAGAATCTCTCGGCCTATTCAATTAGTCATAGATAACTAGAGAGACTATGGGGCAAATTTTATGTGGTAGGTTTATATACAGTCAATCTTTAAGAACTGGAAAGAAAATGGGTCCAAAACCAAATATTTGAAAATAGAAGAGAAAACCCACCAAGATCAGAGGGAGATTCAACAGGAGGTGGGAAAAGTCAGACAGTCTGTACGTGAACGGTCGATAAGCTGACAGACAGTGATGGTTCTCCTCCTCCTCCAGCACCATTCCCGTGGGCAGCAGGGAGCGCTTTGGAAGCTGCTTTAGGAGAGCAAGGGTGGAGTGGATCGGGAAGGCTGCCGGGGAAGGGGAAGCAGCAGGAAATGGGCAGGGGGCTGGCACGTGGGTCTTGCACTGGGCAGATGGGAAGCAGTGGCTGGGCCTGGTTACGCCGCTGACTTACTCCTGCCTTCCACTGCTCTGCCCCTTCCAGGCCCTGTTGCTGGCAGTGACTGGCCGTCCCCACCCCAGAGCCAGCCGCATCTCGGGCTCTCTCAGGCTGCGCCCCCTACAGCCGCCGACCCATCTAGGGGATGAGTCCTGGCGCACAACTTTAAAAAAAAACAAAGGACAGTTGGCTGCAGGTAAAACGGGTGGGGGAAAATATCCCAAAACTGAGGAGATTTGTAAACTGGCCTTTGAGAATTAGAAAACGGGGCAAAACCCAAGGACAACAGAGACATGGACAATCACTGGAGAGAAAAGAGCATGTGTATGTCAGGGGGAAATCTGTGGATTTGATCCCCATATTTGATCGTTAGAGAAAAGGGGGAAGAATTCAGGGGAAATGATTCAGTCTCTGAGAATGAAGTGACAAAACCAGAGAGAAACCCCCCTGCTCCCGATCTCCTGCCTGCCCAGAGCCAGGTCCACCCCCGCCCCCGTTCACACGGTCTGTCCCTTCCAACCCCCCACCCCCCCACAGGCAAAGGGGGTTTCCCTGCCCGCCCCAGCACTTTCCCACGGTCTCTGCCCCTTACCTGCGGCCCGGGGCTGGTGCGGGCACAGCCCGGGGGCGGGTCCCAGCTGGGGAAATCCCCCTCCGGCCGGGCCCCTCCCCCCAGACAGGCAAAGGGGGTTTCCCTGCCCGCCCCCAGCACTTTCCCACGGTCTCTGCCCCTTACCTGCGGCCCGGGGCTGGTGCGGGCACAGCCCGGGGGCGGGTCCCAGCTGGGGAAATCCCCCTCCGGCCGGGCAGGGAGGGGTTAATGCCGGGCCCCTCCCCCCAGACAGGCAAAGGGGGTTTCCCTGCCCGCCCCCAGCACTTTCCCACGGTCTCTGCCAGTTACCTGCGGCCGGGGGCTGATCCCGGCTGGAGAAAGCCCCCCTCGGCCGGGCAGGGAGGGGTTAATGCCCCCCCCCAGCACAGACCCCGGGGAGCAGCAGCGTCCGGTCCGGGCTCTAGGCTTTGTTCTCCGGCTTCTTCCTCCAGCCCCTTCCTGTGTCTGCACAAAGCGAGCCGGGCGGCAGCGCTGGCTGGCCAGGGGTTTTCCCAGCCCGGCCCTGGTCCCCTCCGGGCTGGGAAGGGGCAGGGGACCGAGTCCCCCCTGCCCCAGAGAGGGGAAGGGCAGAGGGGGGGATTGAGAGGAGCAGCAGGAGGAATTAGGGGGGCAAAGCGTGTCCCAGTTCCCTTCCTGCTGCATCGCTCCTGGACTGGTTTGGAGTTAGGGCGACCAGATGTCCTGATTTTATAGGAACAGTCCCAATTTCTGGCTCTTTTTCTTATATAGGCTCCTATTACCCCCCACTAGGGTGACCAGATGAACCATTTTTAAAGGGACAGTCCCGATATTTGGGGCTTTTTTATATATGGGCTCCTATTACCCCCCCCCCCCCATCCCCTGTCCTGATTTCTCTCATTTGCTGGCTGGTCACCCTGGTTTGATTTAGATCAGTTACAAGCACAATGAAAAGTCCTTGTGGCACAGGGTGACCAGACAGCAAGTGTGAAAAATCAGGACAGGGTGGGGGGGTAATAGGGGCCCATATAAAAAAAAGCCCCAAATATAGGGACTGTCCCTATAAAATCGGGACATCTGGTCATCCTATTGTGGCACCTTAGAAACTAACAAATTTATTTGGGCCTAAGCTTTCGTGGGCTACAACCCACTTCACCAAATACATGGAGTGGAACATACAGGAGGAGCAGGTATAAATGCACCTCTACCCCAATATAACGTTTCTGCCCCTTTCCCAGGTGCGGCCTGCCGAGCCCACAAGCTGTGAGAGACCAAAGCCAGGGTCTCTTCCCCGGGAAGAGGTTTCTGTGTAGCAAGACTGGGCTGGCATAGGAGGCAGGGCTGGCCCAGGCCTGTCAGTGGGTATTAAACCAGCCCGGACCTGGACCTGGACCTGGAAAGGCTGGCTCATGTCTGGAGTGCGCGAAGCAGAGATCACTGGTGAGGTTTGTTGTTTTGTGAAGGTTTTTGTGTGTAGGGGGGGTAGGGTCTGTCACTGAACTGAAGAGGGTCATATGGGAAGGAGACTAAAAACACCCGATGAGGGTGGGATTCGAACCCACGCGTGCAGAGCACAATGGATTAGCAGTCCATCGCCTTAACCACTCGGCCACCTCATCTGAGCTGCTGGTTTGGTTTTAACACTTCCCAAAGTCAGTGCTGCTGGGAAACTTTTCGCCAAATCACTGGCTGGCCAGGACGGGAAAGTTTGGCTATTAAAAAAAGTTCTCGGTGCTGTTGTAGAAGTCGATGTGCAATGAACAAACCCACCAGAATACCCCTGGGCTGCACAGACACGGGATCGCTGTTCAAAGTCTGTATTTCAGAAATGGCCACGGTTCCCAATGGCCAACATCCACATTTCTAACGGGAAGATGGACATGGAACAAGTAAACTTACCGCGTTATAGACGAAACCGTGTTATATCGAACTTGCTTTGATTGGCTGGAGTGCGCAGCCCCGCCCCCCTGGAGCGCTGCTTTACTGCGTTATATCCGAATTCGTGTTATATCGGGTCGCGTTAAATCGGGGTAGAGGCGTACATGAAAAGATGGGAGTTGCCTTACCAATTGTTAGGTCAGTCTAAGGAGACAATTCACTTAACAGCAGGAAACCAAGGAAGGAAAAATAACTTTTGAAGTGGTAAGAGAGTGGCCCATTTCAGACAGTTGACAAGAAAGTGCGTCCAAGTAGGGGGAAGTTAGTATCGGGGAAATTAGGTTTCGGTTTTGTAATGACCCAAGCACTCCCAGTCTTGTTTAATTGTTGCGACCTTTTTCATTGTCATCTCTACATGGCTGTTTGTTTGATGTCCAGAGTTTCCTGTTATTTCTGTCACCAGCATTTGGTCTGTCTAATGCCCTGTGGAAAATCGGCTCTCTTTCTGTTCAGGAGGAGACATCAGAACAGGGTAGGGTGACCAGACCTCAAGTGTGAAAAATCAGGACGGGGGTGGGGTTGTAATAGGAGCCTACATAAGAAAAAGACCCCAAAATCAGGACTGTCCCTATAAAACCAGGACATCTGGTCACCCTAGAACAGTGACTGGAGAAGGGGAGGTCAGTGCAAGGGCAGCTTGTAGCCTTTCATGACATTTAAATCTTTCACTAAATCTTTGCCCGCTGTCTGAAGGAGAAGGAAGAGTTCAGCGTTTTAGAAACCGGCACGTGCGTGTTGGATGGAAAAAGGGGAGCGGTGTGGAAATCAGACTCTCTTCTCTGCCTGGTCCCGCAGCTCCATTTAGAAAAGTCTGAAACAGGGAGCCTTTTCTACAGGCTACACGGCATGGTTGGGTCGCCCTAGGTGCCTCTCGGCGCAGATTAAACAAGACCTCCTCCCCGAGCAGCCTGCAGCCACGGTCGGTGTAATGAAGTTGACACAGAGCAGACGCGGCCTGGCTTCTGCCGACTGTTACTGGCACTCAGGAGCCGTTACCCTGACCCTACAAGCGCTCCTAGGAGTCGAGTGCGCACAGGCAACACCCACAGACGTCGGGGTAGAACCTGGGATTTCTGCGGCATACAACAATCAGTTACACACATACACAATGGGAAATGACTACCTAGGAAGGAGAACTGTGAAAAGGGATCTGGGGGTCATAGTGGATCACAAGCTAAATATGCGTCAACAGTGTGACACTGTTGCAAAAAAAGCGAACATAATTCTGGAATGTCTTAGCAGGAGTATTGTAAGCAAGACACGAGAAGTAATTCTTCCGCTCTACTCTGCGCTGATTAGACCTCAACTGGAGCAATGTGTCCAGTTCTGGGCGCCACATTTCAGGAAAGATGTGGACAAATTGGAGAAAGTCCTGAGAAGAGCAACAAAAATGATTAAAAGTCTAGAAAACATGACCTATGAGGGAAGATTGAAAACATTGCATTTGTTTAGTCGGGAGAAGAGAAGACTGAGAGGGGACATGATCACAGTTTTCAAGGACGTAAAAGGTTGTTACAAGGAGGAGGGGAAAAATTGTTCTTCTTAACCTCTGAGACATCGAAGAGTCCGGTGGCACCTTAAAGACAAACAGATTTATTTGGGCATAAGCTTTCGTGGGTAAAAACCGACTTCTTCAGATGCACGAAAGCTTATGCCCAAATAAATCTGTTCATCTTTAAGGTGCCACCGGACTCCTCATTGTTTTTGTGGATACAGACTAACACAGCTACCCCCTGATACTTAACCTCTGCAGTGGGGACAAGAAGCAATGGACTTAAATTGCAGCAAGGGCAGTTTAGGTTGGACACAAGGAAAAAATTCCCTACTGTCAGAGAAGAGCAGTTGGGACTGAACTGGGGAAACGAGCCATTAGTCAAGTGTAGACGAATGATTTACAGGGTTTTTTTTATATCAACTACTTCATCCATCAGGTTGCAAGAGTAACTGAAATTCTTCTCTCCTATGTTTTCCTACCATAGAAAGAAACAGCGTTTTAATGAGAAGGGAGTCAAGTTTAATGGCTTCAAGTATCAGGGGGTAGCCGTGTTAGTCTGTATCTACAAAAACAACATGGAGTCCAGTGGCACCTTAAAGACTAACAG